AAAAAAAAAAAAAAAAATCACTAAACCCTAAATATGAACACAGTGCCCCCACCAACCTTTCAATTCCATATGTACAGCACCACTGGGATTGTAGCATTTGGACACTGATACTAATGATAAGGCTGCACTTGTCACAAAGGAGTAGGATGATACAGAAAAAGCCAGATTCTCTGCTTCGGATTGTCCAAAACTATCTGCTCCTAATGCACAAGAGCCCAGAGCGCACCAACTTAGAGATACTGTGGCTGTGTGAATCGGCAGTGCAGAAACTTTACTGAAGTGAGCCGGAAGTCCTGATCATCCCTCCCCACAGCTCAACACTTACACTTTCTCAAGGACAATGCCCTTGGCATGGGATGCACCCCCGAAGGGGTTGGCCTTCAGTGCCGTGCCCAAATGCGCCTTCTTGTACTGCTTGTCATGCCACTTCTGGTCACGGCGGTGGCTGCGGAGTTTCCGGGCTGTGCGCAGTCCCCGACACTTGCCTACAAAACATGGCAGTGCATTAGGTAGTACAGCCCCAGCAACACAAAACAAGCATCACAGCCTATCATGATCCCCCTTCCAACCTTTGATGACTATACCCCCCCCCCACTCTGTACTTGGCTCCAGGTACTAAACTGAATTGCTGACCCCCCAACACAGTGATACCACCATCCCTGGCAGGTCAGGTGCCAGGAACAGTTCCCCACTGACACCCTCCCCGCAGTGGGACATGGGACTGCTCATGTCTGCACATACAGGGCAGGACCTGAGAGGGGAAGGACCCACAATACAATTCAGCACCCACACAGCACACTCAGGATTCTGTGTGGGGTGGCTACACCCTGACTGATCAGAACTGCCCCTCAGCACAGGTAAAAAGCAGGTGATCACACAGAAGCCACAGTGCCAGTGCTGCTGAAAGAGGGAGGAAGTAGTAACTGGTACAACCAGGCATACTAATGGTTCCCCTGTCAGCTGAACTACAAGTCCCACTATGCATCACTTGGCCCTCCAGGTTCCCTTGGTCATGCCCCCCTGGATCCTTGTTACAGAGTCAACATTTGCTTGCAGTTAATAGAATGCATTTCATTATGCATCATTTAAAACATGTTAACACCATAGTTATTGACAGTTCAAAATATAATAAATGTTGGCAATTGCATGTATCATAAAAACGGTGAGTTTACTTGAAACTTATCCCTGATAGTATCACAGTGGCCATGCTTGCAAAACACAGCCCTTATTACAATAATAAACAGGCAGTGAGATCTTTACAGTTAGATCTTCTAAGACAGATGAGAACACCCAGATTTCAGTGGCAGTTCCTAAATGATCTAATTCTGTAGTAGGGTTTGGTATGGCAACACCATGAAGACCTGCAGGAACAGCACTTATATAGCATTGCTCTGGCATTTGTCTGGTTAAAAAAAAAAAATCCAAGCTTGTTGCTTCAAAAAAAAAAAAAATCCACTAATTGTGGCTCTGAAGATGCCACACCACTGTTTTTGTCAACAGTGTGAAAAGGCAGTTGGGCCTGAAAGTAGGAGGGAAATAAAGAAGTACAACTCAAAGTGTATAAATTAAAATAACACCACTGCTCAGTGGAGAGGAAAAAAAGGCTATCTGGAAACTTCAAGAAGACCACTTCAGCATAGCAGGACAGTCCAGACTGGGACCAGCGCTTACAGGCCAAAGGATGATGCCAAACACTGGCTCAATTCACTGCTGCTCCTGGTAACTCGCATCGCTGACTGGTAAACCTGCTTCCCTTCTGACCAACACCACAGTCAGAAAAGCCTCAGTCCCCATAACCCAATTTGACCCTACATGGAGAAGGGAACTAGCATAAGATGAGTGACAGCACCCTTGTGCAGGGCGATCCCGGAGGCCCGGGCCTTGGCTGGTGACACAGGCCTGTCTCATCCCTCAGGGCAGGGGCACCCGGTTTTGGCACTGGCAGAAACATGCTTCTTCATGCAGGGCCAGCTCACGTGCAGGAAGACCAGGCAGCCAAGGGGGGGCCGGCTCTGACGAAGTGACAAACGTCTATTTGCTTTTATTCCAAGAGACACGGGCAGCTGAAGGGCAGCCGGCGCCGGGCTCGGGCCGCGACAAGGGACTGCTAAGACCCAGCCACCCCCGCAGCTCAGAGCACGTAGGAGGACGGGGCGCCATCCCAACCGGGCGGCACCAATCGCCTCCGCAGTGGGGGGACAACACGGAACCACTGACCATGTCGGACAGGCGGCAGCCAGTACAACCACCCCGGTGGCGGGAGGGGTGTCATGGCGGCGCCGCCGGGCTCGGGCCTGCGCCGGACGAAGCACGAGGCCGCAGCCGCGCCCAGAGCACAAGGAACGGGACCGTGCTCCGCCCGCCTTCGCGCCGAGGCCTCCCACCACCATCCCCCGGAGTGAAGGGGAAGCAGCCGCCTCCCCCGCCCAGCGCGACTCGACCTGGCCCCAGCGCTCACCCATCGTGCCGCGTCCTGAGCTGGAGCCGGAAAGAGAGAGAGGACCACAATGCACCGCGGCTCCTCCAACACGCGGCGAGGCCCCGCCACAGGGGGCTTTCCGCTGCGCGCCTGATCAGAAATCCCCATCGCGGGCCCCGCCTTGAGGGCGGACTGGCGAACACGGGGCGGAGAGACCACACCAGAAGGTTTCGTGGTGCGGCGGGGGCTGTGGGACTCACGCCGCCTTTTCCCGAGCCCGGTGTCTACCCAGGTCACCACAAGCCCGTGGCGCTGCCATGGTAACGGGCGCAAAGCCCCCGTGAGGGCGGTGCGCTACCCGCGTTCTGCGCTGCGCCCACTCAGGGTTGTGCAGGGGGCGTGTTGTGTGACGTCACGCCTTGGCGCGGGGTGTCTGTGCTCCGGGCTGCGGCCGGGGTCGGGGTCGGAAGAAACTCCATGAACGCGGCTCTTTCTGCCCAGCAACCTTCATGCGACCCTGTTTCCTAAATCCCTCCGCAACAGTAATCCCCGAGAAGGGTTCCCTCGGCTGCCGTGGTCGGACATGGGGTGTGGGAGGGGGTGCGGCATCACGTAGAAACAGCGTGTATTTTTCTCCAGTTAAAGAGACACTGGAAGCTTTCCTACTAGCAGGGGCCTAGGGCTGTATTAGTTTAAGACTGAAGCGAAGACAACTAGAAGTGCCTTGGAGCCAGTTAAAAACAAGGGGCAGGGCTGTGACATAAGGGCGTCAGGACAGCAGAAAGGCAGAGAAAGGGCTGGCTTGATTGGTGGTGCGTCCTCCCGCCATCGGCAGCAGTCCCCTCAAGGATGCACTCTACCATGGCTCACTGAAGGATCTTGAGGTGATTTAAGAGTCCAAACCTGGAGTCACAGACCGATCTGGTCTTTCTGCAGTGGGGTGGGCCAGGATCTCTACTTTCCTTCCTCCATTTTTCTCTGCTTCAGGGGTGAAGTGCTTTACCTTCAAACTGGCAGCTGGTTGGCTGAGGCTGTTGGCACGGTTGGAGCTGGTCAGCAACCAGCTCCCCCCAAGTTTTGAGTCGACATTTGTTTTCCTGAGGTATGTGTTGAGTGTGTCCTGGTAGTGTTTTCTCTGGCCGCCATGAGATTTCAGGCTGTTTCTAAGCTGGGGGTAGAGCACTTGTTTTGGGAGTTGAAAGTCAGGCATCCACATACAGTATCCAGTCCAGCAAAGTTGGTGCTTGAGGGTCACAACTTAATGCTGGTAACATTGGCTTCAGCAAGGATGTTGGCATTTGTGCAGTGATCTTTTAATTTGACGTGGAGGGTTTTTGGGAGGCATCATTGGTAATGCCTCTCCAGGTTCTTCATATGACAATGGTAGGTCACCCACGTTTCACAACTGTAGAAGCAAGCGGGTCTGAACACTGCATTGTAGGCCTGGATGTCTTTCTGGAGGTAGTGATGAGTAAAGACATGCTGAAACAATTTCCCAAGGGCGGCACTTGCACACCAGATCCTGTGCTGGATCTCCTCATCAATTTTCGCTCTCTGAGAGAGTTGGCTACCAAGGTAGGGGAAGTGTTCGACTACCTCCAGGGTCTTTCCTTCTATGGTGATTTGTGGTGTAAGGATGGCATAGTCATTGGCATATTGAAGGTCAAGGACAGCTGTTTTGAGTACGTTGGTCTTTGACTGAATATGTCCCAGATAGAAGAGTCCTGTATCTGTTTGGTATTCAATGTTGATTCCAAAAGGAAGGTGGTCCTTAATGAGAACCAAGATGACCGTCAGAAAAATAGAGAACAGTGAAAAAATAGAGAACAGGGGCCATGACACATCCTTGCTTGACCCCAGTGGACAAATGAATCTGTCTCCCATTCACTACATAGAACAGGTTGCAGTCATCTGATCTTCGTGTACTTTTCCGGACATACGAATCTGGCCAGTACTTTTCCACAAGACTTCGTGATGGATGAAATCAGAAGCCTTACTGAGGTCAGTGAAGGCCATGTACAAATCTGGATGTTGTTCCCAACACTTTTCTTGAACCTGGCAGGCAACAAAGATCGTGTCACTTGCCCCACAGGATGGTCTGACACCACACGGAGATTCTGGCAAGATTTCTTCAATAAGAGGTAGAAGACAGTTCAGGAGGATGTGTGCAAGGATTTTCCCTGCTGTGAAAAGGATGGCAATATCTCAGTAGTTCCCACACACAGACTTACCTCCTTTCTTGAGAATAGTTGTGATGTTGACATTCCTCAGGATCCCAAGAGTCTCTTTTGTTGTTCCAAATGCATAGAATAAATTTGTGGAGTCTTGGTTCCAGTTCCTTGTCACCAGCCTTGTACATTTCAGCAGGTATGCCGTGTCCAGTGGCCTTCTTGTTCTTGGTTTCCTTGATGGTGGAGCATCAAGACCATTAAAAAGAAAAGAGGATCATTAACACCTGTGAAATAGAGTGTTTAGAAGGGATCAGGAATGAGCCCTGAAATCAATTGAGTTCCTCAGCACTGCCTGGCTATAAATGCTGCTGACACTGCCAGACAGTTGGTGTTATATTTTAGGTGGACCAGAAATCAAAGCGGGATACAAGTACCCCATCCCCTAACCTGTTCCCCCCCATCCATCCCTGTCTTCTGAACAAATAAAGTTTAGAAGTCTAACCATGCCAGAGACTGCTGTTTTGCATCAGTGGTCAGATGGAAAAGTTTCATTTCCCACCTGCAGTCTGAGATTCCTGAGGTGGTCTGGTTAGCTAGGTGAACTTGACCAACAGTTTAACCAGAAGCATTAAAATAACCCACACGTTCTGTCTTCAAAAAGATTTCCATTTTCTGATTTTGACTGCATCTTGTAAGACCTGATTTCTGTCCTAGTGCTTTAGGAAATGATGTCATTTTTCAAAGTACTGCTGGTCATAGTAACAAATTACTTATTGGTAAATCTGCTTCCCCTAATAGCCAAAAATACAAGGATTAGTAAAACACAGTAAGAAGACCTTGGTTCCTGTAACCTAATTTGACACCAAATTGAAGAGATGGCAGGAAGAACGAAAAACCCCTTTTTTGTGGGTAAATCTGGAGGATGTAACCCTGTTTTCTGTAATCAAAAGCCTGGATTTTTTAGTAATGATAACACTTACTGTTTTGATAGAAATGTGCTGCTACATGCAACACCACTTCAAAGCTTTCAAAGTACAGAAAACAAATTGAAAAAGGACTACCTCTGACTATTATTAACAAAGAAGTAATAAGTGACAAAGTTATTTCTTTACTGTTATTACAACAAAGAAAAGCGGCGGAATGGTGGCTGAGCCACCATTCGAATAACTAGAAAGGGGTAGCTGGTAAGACTCCCCAATAACTTAAAAAACCTGGGAGGATTGAATGTTACCCAGCAGAACTGAGTGAGTAGAACTAAAGGCCTTGTGCTGAGTATAAAGATAGGCAGTATTGGAATGTGCTTATTTTGAAATGAAGGACCATATAGCTTAATACAAGGCAAAATGATATTGGAATATGTTTATTTAAAAAACAGGTACATGGGTAATCCGTATTTAGTTTTGTATGCATGGCCTATGTATAACTGAACTACATGATAAGAAATTAAAATGGGTAAATGCCTGATTTGGGTAAGAACGTTGGAATTAGCATATCCTTGTGTTGTTCTCCACTGTTAGTAGTTTTTAATCATTATCTGTAAGTGATTTAATGTTCAGGCATAGCAACTGAGAGCTGTTTTGGTAACAAGCTCACAACTTCTTCCCTGTGTGTTCATACTTATGGACAAGATATTGTGCTGGCCACAACTTGCCCATTTCCCTTCTGAGAATACAGTTTTTCCAGTGACACGTTTCCCCTTTTCAAAGTGTTTGTGGATGTTTTTTTGTGACATTTTAGGCAGCTGGTTCATTGCATGTACCAACATGAGACCACTTTCACACATCTCTTGGTAAAAAATAGTAGCATAAGAAGTAAAGGTATGTATGCATGTTGTTCGCTAGCTTATCATCTGCATTGGCTCTACCGTTCCAATTCAGATTGGCATTACCTACAGTTCTATGGCTAGAAATAGAGGTCACCAAATGCAGTGGATCAGCTGTGCCAGTATGGGTCCCAGTACAGCCAATCTCCTTATTGGTAGACCTGTGTGAAGCGACTAGTATTCACTTTGGATTCAGATTTGGCTGATTCGGGGGACAGTGATTCGATTCAGTGATTCAAAACACTGTCCCGAATCGATTTGGCTGCTGCCAAATTGGCCAAATCTCTGAGTTGGATAGGCCCCATCCCCCACCCGCTCTCTCAGCCCCATGAATGGCTGCACTGCCGGGCCTCAGCTCCCCGCTTTAAAAATAAAAATAAAAATCCCTGAACTCACCAGCTCCTGCCAGGTGTGTGTGTGTTGGGGGGGGGGGGGGGGGCATTCCGTGCTGCCCCCACTGTGTGGGGGGGCTCTGAAATGAGCTCCCTGCCCCCCGCCCCCATGGCTGCCCTGCCTGGCCCCAGCTCCCGGCTCTTTAAAAAAAA